GGGGAGGCTGGTGGAGGGGGAAAGGAGACGGGATGGGTGGGCGCGAGGTTGGGTTGGGAACCCGAGGAGTCTGAAAAGGTGGGAGAACTACAAGAGGCGCTCTATTTGCTCTAAGATTTCATCTTTCCATTCACTCCACTCTACCATGGGTTTGAGGCCTGGATTATTATGAAAAAGAGGAAAAAGCAAGGTGGCTAACATGAACCTTCCTTCCCTGTGCCAACCAGGCTTCCCAGATGTGTGGAACTGTGTGGAGCGGGAGCTCTTCGCTACCATCTCTGCTTTCTCTCTTCTGAGGAACCCCGAAGCCTCTGCCATGGAAAAGTACCACGTGTTGGAGATGATTGGAGAAGGCTCTTTTGGGCGGGTGTACAAGGGTCGGAGGAAATACAGTGCTCAGGTGGTGAAAAAAGAGGGGTAACTCTTGGTTGGGATTCCACACCCCCAACTCCAGTGGAAAATGGGGCCAGAAGGGAAGCATTCATACCAACCTGTATTCCTAGGACACTGACTCCTTCTAGCGTAGGGAGTGTGAGCTCTGAAATTGGATTACTTGGGTTCAAATCCTCACCCTACCACTTTCTAGCCTTAGAACTGGACAAGTTACATAACCGCTCTCTGTCTCAGTTTCCTCATCTATAGAGCGAACACAGTATAGTATCTGATTGATGGGGTTTGAGAATTAAATGTAATGTTACATTGGATTACTTAGTACAGTGCCTGGCACCTCATACACAACAAATAAATATTATCACTACTATTAATCCTGATCATCCTATGCAGGAAGAAATAAACCACCTGAACTCTATTCTTCTTCTCCGTTTTTTCCCTCTAAATTCTTTAAATCTTGAGTTTTTTACTTTGACCAGAACACCTGTCCCAGAATCCACCAAAGGGTTCTGTCTGGCAGAGACTGTTTCCTCCCAGGGCAAGGGGAAGGAAAGGCTGGGTAAGGGCACAGTACCATGGGGAGAGTGGAGTGGGAGACTAGCAGCTACCATGACAATTGCTCAATCTAAAGTCTCACTTCTGGAGTTCTCAGGCTAAAGTTTCAGTGGTGTGCCTAGGCCTTGACTCTTCATCTTACCTCTGATAGGTGGTGGCCCTGAAGTTCATTCCAAAATTGGGACGCTCAGAGAAAGAGCTGAGGAATCTGCAACGAGAGATTGAAATCATGCGGGGCCTGCGGCATCCCAACATTGTGCACATGCTCGACAGTTTTGAGACTGATAAAGAGGTGTATTTTGGCTTGGGGTCACCTCTCCCCAAGAAGAAGCGTCCCAGGAACTTCCCAACCTTAATGCATAATTCTGAAGCCATCAGTGTCTTTTGCCTTTGCCTTTCAGGTAGTGGTAGTGACAGACTATGCTGAGGGAGAGCTCTTTCAGATCCTGGAAGATGATGGAAGACTTCCTGAAGACCAGGTATGTTTCCAGGCTCAAACTTCTCCCTACCCCTGACTCTCTTCAGGTTAAGGACTGGCAGGGAAAGCTGAGGGCACTGAGAGTCTGCATTTTGAAAATTCCTGAGAAAAATATAAGAATCAGTGTATATAGAGGACATGTGGTATGACAATGAAGTATATCAACCGTGAAGCCAAAACTCTTTGAATACAAAGGTTGGCTCTGCCACTTTCTAGCTGGATCCTCTTGGGTAAGTTATTTGAACCTCTTTGTGCTCAGTTTCCTCTTTCTGTCTAATTAATTAATTAATTGATTGATTTTAGAAGGAAAGAGGAGGGTAAAGGGGGGGAGAGAGAGAGAAACATTGATCGGTTGCCTCCTGCATGTACCCCAACTGGGGATATAACTCCCAACATAGGTTTGTGCCTACAACCTTTCGGTGTATGGGACAGTGTTTCAACCAGCTGAGCCACACCAGCCAGGGCTGTTTCTTCTTTTTAAAATGGAAATAATAATGTCTATCTCATAAAGCTACTGTGGGGATTAATGAGTTAATTCATGTAAAATGGTTAAAGAGTTCCTGAAAAACAACATTCATTGTAGTTAGCTATTATTAGTGTTATTGTTATTGGGTGCCATTAGGGAAGAAGGGCTAGTGTGGTGGTACCAGAGAGGGCAGGAAGGTATGAGGGTTATGGTTAAGGCAAGATTCACCACCAAGACATAGTGGTTCATAGTGGGATTGGGTTGAACACATTTTCCAGCCACACTTATTCTAGGGGTTTTCCTGTACTCTAGCAAGTAGGCCCTCCTCAGGACTTTCTGTTGCAGCATTGTTTTTTCTTATAAGCACTCCTCATCATTGGTAATTCATCATCTTATTCCTTTTGTCTGTCTTATTTCTTTGATTACTTCTTTTTAAAAAGGGATTTTGTCTTAATAACAACTAATGCATATCGAATGCTTATCAAATGCCAGGCACCATTCTGAGCATTACATTACTTTACACGCTTTAACTCATTTAATCCTCATAATAATCCTATGTGGTAGAGGGTTTGATTATTGTCATCTTATAGATGAAAAATCTGAGAGGCATAAGATAATTTGTCTATGGCCGTGCAGCTAGTGAGACTCAATAAATTTTCTTTGAAAGAATGAATGAACAAATCAATGAATGAATAGGGGAGCAAGAACTATAGAAGGTATTGTGTGAAGCTCAAAGAAAGGGAAGAGATGATCACATCAGCTGTAGTATCAGGGAGGAGTCTTTGGGCTCCTGGATCAGGCTCCTTCCTCTGACCTATCCTTTCTTCCTCCCACTTGGCTGATTCCTAGGTTCAAGCCATTGCTGCCCAGTTGGTGTCGGCCCTGTATTATCTGCATTCCCACCGTATCCTTCACCGAGACATGAAGCCTCAGAACATCCTCCTTGCCAAGGATGGTGGCATCAAGCTCTGTGACTTTGGGTGAGGAGCCTGACCTTCCGTCTCTACTTCCAGTTCTGCAGGGAGTCCTAGGCCATTTGCTTGACTTACATGGGCCTCGTTTTAGAACCTGAGCTGCAGACTGGGACTCCTGCTGGGTCTTTTGGAAGGTGCTCTCTCTGTTTGGGTTTGGGATATCTCACACAATGAGAGGGAGTAGTGACCAGGTCTAGTTTTATTGACTGTCTTCTCTCTTTACGTTTCCATTCCATCACCTGCAGATTTGCCCGGGCTATGAGCACCAACACAATGGTGCTAACATCCATCAAAGGCACACCACTCTATATGTCCCCAGAACTGGTGGAAGAGCGACCATACGACCACACTGCAGACCTCTGGTCTGTGGGCTGCATACTTTATGAGCTGGCTGTAGGCACCCCTCCCTTCTATACCACAAGCATCTTTCAACTGGTCAACCTCATTCTCAAGGACCCTGTGCGCTGGCCCCCAACCATTAGTCCTTGCTTCAAGGTAATGAATATAGAGAGGGAGATTACTTTTGCATTAGAAACCTATCTCCCCCTGCCTCTGTTCCCTTTTTCAAAATCCTTTTCCAGAGTTGGGAAGGACTTTGCAGTTACTGAATTAATACAGGAGCTGGGCCAAGCTGTCTTGCTTTTGTACTGTAGGGGCTTATTCCGGGAGGGTATGTCATACTTGGGAATAGCAGCCCTCCTTGGGCCAGGCTATCTTTTGTCACAATGGAAAGGTGATTTTTAAGAAACCAGAGATAGATACTGGTCCTTTTATATACCCTCTATTCCACTTATTTTCTAACAGATGATATCTACCTTTGCAAACAGTTTTCAGTCCTCTTCTGAAAGAAGGAATCTTTAGCTATCCAATCTTTAGCTGGCCAGAGCTAGTGGGGCTATCTTGGTGATTAGGGGAAAACGAGAAAGGTGGTGCCTGCTCCTTGCAGCTAAGTCTCAGTAGACTGGAGGAAGGAGGTATGGAGAAGGGGAGGAAAAAGAGTGGACCCTTTTTACTTCTTATCTAGCTAGGGCAGTGTTGGGCAAACTCATTAGTCAACAAAGCCAAATATCAACAGTACAATGATTGAAATTTCTTTTAAGAGCCAAATTTTTTAAACTTAAACTATATAGGTAGGTACATTGTTATTAACTTAATTAGGGTACTCCTAAGGCTTAGGAAGAGCCACACTCAAGGGGCCAAAGAGCCGCATGTGGCTCGCGAGCCGTAGTTTGCCGACCACTGAGCTAGGGTAAGATTTGGACTTTCAGTGGAATTTAAATGCAGTTTTTTCCCAGAGTGAAATCTCATATAAGTTTTCATTTTATCTAAGATGAAAGGGGACAGGTTTTCCCCTAAACTACTCAGTTTGGGGAGGCCCAAGTAATTATCAAAAAGAATGTAGCCTGGCAAGTGTGGCTCAGTGCTTGAGCAGCGGCCCATGAACCAGGAGGTCACAGTTCAATTCCCAGTCAGGGCACATGCCCAGGTAGCAGGCTCAATCCCCGGTGGGGGGCATGTGGGAGGCAGCCAGTCCATGTTTCTCTCTCATTGATGTTTCTTTTTCTCTGTCCCTCTCTCTTCCTCTCTCTAAAAAATATATGTATATATAAAGAGAATCTAAACAAAGGAAACTTAAGTGGGTGATATACATGGGATATTTATTCTCCCTTGGGGCAGATATGCAG